AGCCTCTACTTCCACATCCACTGCTTTAAGGTCGGTGACATCACACAGAGGGGGGGGTTTAACACAACAGCCATGAGCCGTTTCTTTGTTTATTTATCTTCTACTTTATTCCAGTTGTGGCCTGAACTATAAATAACCAGCAGTGCAATTTTGGCTGACAATAAAAAATGCTAAAGGCAGCATTCAAACAGATTTGTTATATTTCTAAAACTTTATAAGACTTTCTATGTGTTGGTATTAATATCAGACATTGTGTGCTGATCACTTCCTTTTGAAATAGTTTTTAACTGTTAGAAAAAGGTCTCTGTTACTCATTTTACTCCAGACTGCAGCCCCCGGCTGTTAAAGGAAAGTACTCCAACTTTTAAAATGAATGTGTGTATTAGGAACGCTCGGATCAGGAAACTGCAGCCATTCGTCCACTCACGAAAGCAGAACCAGTCGATACAGATCTGAGTCTTTATTTAAAGCCTCCTATTAGTATAGAACCGTCCCTTATTAATCCCACTGTGGGCACAGTAACTAATGCACCAAGTGGATATAAAAAATAGACTAAAAGTATAAAAAGATGTAGGAATAAAATACCTATAAAATGGAGATTAGCCATCCAGGGAATTTTAAATGTATACAAGAATGTGCTGTTTTAAATGAGGGTATATTTGGAAAATGTTCAGATATATGCCTGGAGATGGAGTGAATTTATATTCACATTTACATAAAACTTAAAATCATGCTTCTTTTATTGAACCATCCTTAAGATTTGAGCTAAATAAAACATGCTAAACTGCAAACATGTGCAACACACTTTACTTGCTTTTTTAAACCCAAGTAAATTACTTATTCTTCTACACATTTGAAAAACAAAGCTCTATTAGTTCGTGCCGTTTTATATAAAAACAGGAGGAACAGTTGCAGACAGCAGTGAGGAGATCATATATAAGTTTCCTAAATAATTAACTTTAGAAATACTCATTTCAAAATGCACATAAAGTAAAACAACAGGCTTCTGTCTTCTCAGAATATGAGCGTACAGCCATCAGGACTTTATTGATGCTCCTTTTAAAGGGTTAAACCTTTAAAACAGGTTCAGTAAAATGGGGAAATCGGAAAAACAGAATGATTTTGGTCTTTTCCAGAGGTTTAAAAGCACCCAGTGACAGCTAAAACATATCCAGGTGTATATGTGTGGTGGAATGCTCCTTTAAAAATGCTCCTTTAAAAAGGGTTAAACCTTTAAAACAGGCTCAGAAGGATCGGGGAAATCGGAAAAAACAGAATTATTTTGGTCTTTTCCAGAGGTGTAAAAGCACCCTGTGACAGCTAAAAAACATCCTGGTGTATATGTGTGGTGGAATGCTCCTTTAAAAAGGGTTAAATCTTTAAAACAGGCTCAGTAAGACTGGGGAAATCGGAAAAACAGAATAATTTTGGTCTTTTCCAGAGGTTTAAAAGCACCCAGTGACACCTAAAACATATCCAGGTGTATCATATCCAGGTGTATATGTGTGGTGGAATGCTCCTTTAAAAATGCTCCTTTAAAAAGGGTTAAACCTTTAAAACAGGCTCAGAAGGA